TAAGTCTAATACAGCACTAATTTTATACATTTCTTGTGAAAGAAACACTTCTTATTCAACGGCCATAAAAATTATTTATATTAATGATGTCTCCAAAGGTCAAGTTATTTTTCTGCGAAAAATTATTTATCAGAAATCGCGGCCGCCATTTTGTGTGCTGTTCCGCGACGAAGGCAAGCTTTGAACAACAGGCGTAGTCGAATGGTGCACACTTGGTAAGTAATCCTATAATTTTTTGTTTATAGCATAGTTTATACAGATTATTCCCAAAAAATTATACGTGTTTTGGAAATGTTGAGTGGAATTAGTCTAGAATCGGTTAATTTTATAGAAGGAAACCTTTCAAACAGCCTTAGTCCATAAAGTTCACACCTATCGGGCTGCGATTCGCTCATGTATTTAATCATTCCTACAACGTAAAATTCGATTAGCGTGGAACATATCTAAGCGTTATAGGGGGGTCTACTGTATACATTAAAGAGATCTCTCTATTTTTAAACTTTATTTTAAAGAAAAAGCCTTTAAATAAAAATATTTCATTTAAACCAGAGTGACATTTTAAAGAATAGGTAGTAACAAAACTTCTTTATTGAATTCAGAGCAAAATAAACATAAGTAATTTTAAGATTAAATGAAATTAATACAAGAAATTTCTGTAATATGAAAGAAATTATTAGAATACACATAATTTCATGTGTTTTATTGTCAATGGACTGCCATTTTCAAACTGTGGCCTCAATTAACTATACAAATTTCTAGTCTGAACAGGAAGTCATATAATTTCAATTCAAAATTTTCTTGAGAATAGAATTAAACAATCACTGGATTACATTGGCTACTTTTCCGAGATTATATTTTAAATTAATTACTAAATAATTTGTCACTAGAAGTGGCATCTCTTATTAAACTTAATAATTATAATTAAATTAATATTTATTAAATAATTTAGAATATTCTGAAAGAAAAGAATCAACCCAGAACAGGATCTGAACCCACAACTCCTGCTTACTGTGCAGATGTTTTGCCAGTTATGATACCATTGCAAGTTGCCATGTTTGGCTATACAAGTAAGGCCATGGATCCATATAGATATAAAATGGCTGCATTTCAAACTTTGATAAGAAGAGCCTATTTGTATTGTGATAGAATCGGTGACAGGAATAAAGAAATTGACAGAATATTGCAAGTAGCTCAGACCCTAGGCTACAAGAAAAGCACCATTGTAGGATTACTCAAAAAATATGAAAAGAACAATGAGAAACAAGGCTTAAATACAGCTCCCAATAGACGCTTGAAGTTTACGTATAACAGTAATTTGAACAGTATTATGAAAGAAGTTGCTAATAAGAAACAAGCAAGAATAGTTTTAAAAAGAGCCCCAAATTTATATAAGATATTGAGAAATGATAAGGATAGAATAAAGACAGAAGAAAAACCAGGTGTCTATAAAGTTCCTTATGAAAACATCCAACTAGATGTTAAGAAAGACTACATCGGCGTCACCAACAGGAGCTTAGGAGTAAGACTAAAAGAACATCGGTATAACGTAAAAAAAGGATCCAATGCCACGGTTTTGTCACAAATGTCGCAAGTCCAAGGTTCGGTGGTGAAATGGGACGAGGCAACGATTATAAAACCAGTGTCTTCCCCCACTTTATCAATGACGGCGGAGAAGATTGAAATATATAGGAGTAGGCTACGTGAGGGATGTTTAAATGCGAGAGATGCTGAGAGCCTGTCGTCGGCGTGGAAATACATGATTAAAAAGTTCACTGAAAACTCAAGCTAGAATTAGTTTATTGGAAGATTTATTATATTTATTATATATTTTTTATTTTTTAGTTTATTTGGTGTTATTTTTATATATTCTCTTGTATATTTTAATTTTATTTTGTGTTATTTTTATATTTTATTCCGTTTCTCTTGTATATTTTTTAAAATTTTTGTTCTAAATTTTGATTTAAATATGTATATTCTATACATGGAACGTATCTGTTCCATTTTCGTTTTTTGGACCTGAAGATGGCCTGTTAATCAGGTTGAAAGCGTTTGTGTTTAAAATATATAATTCTCAGCAAAATTAAGGTGTTCTAATATATATGTTTACTTGCTGAGCACGTTTAAGGTTATACAAGTTTATTGGGTTTCATGAAGAATGGAGTTAGATAGATGATCGGCATGACTCAACTGTTTTCA